AGAATTTTATGAATGTTACATAAATAGTAAGAGGGTTGTATACCCAGAGAAAGAAAAGAAAGATAGAGAGATTCTATCTAAGAAAGAGTCAAAGAGTCAAAGAAGTACTAGAGTAGATTGGCATTGCTTGAGAGAAAGTAGTCATGTAGAGGATAAAGTCCATTGTTAAATGGAAAGTATATGAGATAAGATGAGTAGAGCTTGCACCATGTCATTGATGCTCTAGTGATAACACTGATTAGAGATAGATTGGAAGATAAAGATGATAGATGTGTAGATAGAGAGAAAGTCGTGCAACAAGTGTCATGATGGACACTTAAGTGAAAAAGAATGTTAGTAAGAATGTTCCATTGTGCTATATTAAGAGCTAAGGAACATGAGAAGATGGGTCCAGATTTATGAGGAAATAAAAGATGTAGAGTAAGAGGACACTTTGTTAGCGTGTCCACAAAAGAGAAAGAAGAGGAGATGTAGCTCCTAGGGTGCGAAAAGTAATTTCAACCTAATCTCAGCTTCTTACTATGACATTTCACATGTTAGCTTACGATTATTAGTTCAGACAATTATTGATGAGTTTCACGAGTCTATATGTGTTCTTGTAGCTTACGTGGTATGTGTTCATGTAATGTGTTTATATGTTTAGTTTTAGCATCCTTGTTCTCGAAAGGGGTTAAAGGAACCATTTATATCAGCCATGTTCTCGAAAGGGACAAATGGAATTGGTTTACAGTCATATGCTTACATCCGTTGATATTTAATATTTTCAGAAACTTCAGAGGTAGATAAATGTCGTCATAACAAGATCAAATAGAATGATATTTTTCTCCTTGAAAACTATTTATCTTTCATTTAAATTTTAAGGTCGAAACAATAGTAGACAAACTATCTAATCTTTCATTTAAATTTTAAGGTTGAAACAGTAGACAAAACGTGAAAGTTATGAGCCACAACTTGTCAAACATAGGAGTTAGAAAAGTGAAAAAATGAGTTTCTTTTTTTTTTTTTTTAAATAAAAGAGTAAATGTTTAAAAATAAAATCCCAAAATATATTTTAATCGTTTGGCACACATATTTGATTATTTTCCACGGTTCAAGTAAAATCCCAGCAGAACCTCGACGGCCAGTCGGCCATTGCACTGCAAAGACCCTTTCTCTCTCTTTCTATTGTCCCCAATCTTTCTTCTTCAATCACCATCCTTGCTAAATTAGGGTTCCAAATCTCAATCCTGTAATTGATTTATTTGGGTTTAAAGTTTTGAACTCTGCATCAGAATCAAACAGTAAGTTCTAGATCTGCATACAATTCTTGGATCGAATCGACTCGCGGTTAGTCAGATCAGGTAATTCACAATCTTTACTGGTCATGAAGTATCATACTGATCATTGGTATCAATCTTAATTGAAAAATTGAAAATTTTCATCCTTAAATCACATCGGAACATTTCCTCTGTAATTTCATAATCCGTAGTTCCTCGCTATACTTGGATTACTAACCATTTGTTATTCGTTGCAAGTTCATCAACTTAATCATACTGTATACTTTATGATTGTGTTAGATAGGGAATTTGAAAGACTCTGTATTTGTTATTATCAACAATTCGATCGATTTCATATTGCTTATGGCTAAACATGTTAGTGATGATTCATATTTTCAGCATAAAGGCTTTTACTTTTATATATGTTCTTTCAAAAAAAAAAAAAAAAAAGCAATTCTTATGGTTCTTTTCTCTATAAGCACAAATTTAAGGTATAAAAATCCCGAAATTTACACTTGATAATCGTGATCTAAAACCATAATTGATTGGCTATATTCAGAGATTCTTATAAACATCGGGACATTTGAAATGGAGTTATCAAACAACATTGCTACAACCTTGATGAATTCCATGAAAAATGCATCTGATTGGGTGACATTTGCATACGACGCACCTTTTGCTCGAGCTGTTGTTTTTGGAGTCCCCATTGGAGGTAGAATTTCAAATCAGTAAATCACAAAAGCTCTTATTCAAGCAATTAATACTGATCATACATATACTTTTGGTATAGGACATTTGTTTGTGGAAGGTCTATTACTTGTAGTTATTCTCTTCTTACTATCTCAAAAGAGTTACAAGCCACCTAAACGCCCTTTAACAAATAAGGTTTAATTCCCTTTTTTTTTATATATATTTTGATTGAGACAAACATTTCTGATAAATCATAAATCTTAAATTTGTGTAGGAAATAGACGAATTATGTGATGAATGGGTACCCGAGTCTCTTATTCCACCTATAAATGAAGAGATGGAAAAGGAAGCTCCAGTATTGGAGAGGTATGTATTTTGAAGAGTATTTGAAATAAAGTGAGAAATGATGTGTTTATTACTGGTTATATAAGTTGGATTACATTCAGTGCTGCAGGACCACATACAATAATAAATGGTAAAGAAGTGGTGAATTTTGCTTCTGCGAATTACCTTGGATTGATGGGAGATGACAAGTTACTTGTGAGAAAACAAAGCTACCCTTTAACCCTTCCTACTTTATTTTTACTATGATTCTTTCATTTTCATTTTTGTAAATTTAATAATAATGATTAATCGCAGGAATCATGTACCTCTGCGCTCGAGAAATACGGTGTTGGTTCCTGTGGTCCTCGTGGATTTTACGGAACAATCGGTACAATTACAAATACCCAAATAAAATAATCTAGGGTTATTTTTGTCTTTTAGACAACAAGGATAAGAAGGGCATTCACGTCTTTTTCACAAGAGCTAGTCCCTGTCAATCTGTCATCTCATCTCTTTTAGTCTGATAAAAAGTACTATTTTTGTCACGTTGACACCACAGGCTAATGCATGTCAAACACAGTACAACTTGTTTTGTTCTTGTCCTGTTGTAAACGTAATTTTAGGTAACAACTACAAAAGTGACTTTTTTTATTTTTTTTGTTGTTGTTTATGTAGATGTTCACCTTGATTGTGAAGCAAGAATAGCGAGGTTTCTAGGAACTCCTGATTCCATACTTTATTCATATGGGCTTTCGACTATGTTTAGTGCAATTCCAGCATTTTGCAAGAAAGGAGATGTTGTTATTGTGTGAGTATGAGGTCAAACATGTCATTTCTCATATTTATCCAAGTTGTCGACAGATAGCAAAGTTTTATCTAATAGTAAAACTTGGTTTTTTTTTACAGAGATGAAGGTGTTCACTGGGGCATACAGAATGGGTTATATCTATCTAGAAGTACAATCATATACTTTAAACACAACAACATGGAGTCCTTACAAACTACACTTGAGAAAGTCACCCAAGACAACAAACGAACTAAGAAGTTGAGACGCTACATCGTGGTTGAATCTGTGTATCAGGTATTTTTCTGTTTATTTTCTTTTTTCTTTTATTTAAATTTGATATTAGATGAATAATAAAAGCTGGTAAAATCAAATGCTTTACAGAATTCGGGTCAAATCGCACCACTTGATGAGATAATCAGGCTGAAAGAGAAGTACAGATTCCGTGTTTTGTTAGATGAAAGCAACTCTTTTGGGGTTCTTGGTGGATCTGGTAGAGGTTTAACTGAACACTACAATGTCCCCGTATGTTCAATCTCTTTCTCTTATAATGAGACTAAATGACCATCTTACCCTTACATTTCAAAGGAAAGTCTTTTTTGTTGTTTATTATTTTGTTGTAGGTTGAGAAGGTGGATATAATAACAGCTGCTATGGGACATGCATTGGCCTCAGAAGGTGGATTCTGTACAGGAAGTAATAGAGTTATCGATCACCAAGTACTAACCTACTACATCTTAATCCTTCTGTCAAAGGGCAAATCCGTAATTTTAACATGAAATAATCTTACCACTTGTTTTGACTTTATTTATCTTTGTGTAGCGGCTGAGCAGCTCTGGTTATGTGTTCTCGGCTTCTCTCCCACCATACTTAGCAAGTGCTGCAATTACTGCGATTGATGTGATAGAAGCAAACCCTAAACTTCTAACAAAGTTAAGGGACAACATCAAGACATTGTTCACAGGGTTGTTGGGAATACAAGGGTTAAAACTTGCAAGTGATATACTTTCACCTATTGTGTTCATAGTGTTGAAGGAATCTACAGGGTCTACAAAGAGTGATCTTCAGTTGCTTCAGGATATTGCTGATCGGGTAACATCATTTGTACTTATTTGAAACATGAAAATTGAAAAGGTTTTTTTTGTTTTTTAAATTGTTTGTGATGGAAATGGGATTTTTGTAGGTGTTGAAGGAACATTCGGTTTTTGTGGTACCTTCTAGAAGATCGACACTTGATAAATGCAAGCTGCCTGTTGGGATTAGATTGTTTGTGTCTGCTGCTCACACGGAATCTGATTTGAGGAAAGCATATGAAGCACTGAAGGCTGTTGCTGCTTCAGTATTCTCCACACCTCAAAACTGAATACTAAATTGCACTCACTTTCTTCTTTTTCCTTTTTTTTTTTCTTAAAAAAACTTTTAATTTATTTCATAGTTTATTGTATCATTCTTGACATATCTAATTGATTTTCTTCATAATTTTGTTTCCTTACTGAATCTTAGCTTCTTTTTATGCCAGCTGGAATGATATCTTAATTTATTCGTTTATATTTGATTAAGAGTTTTGAAGTTATAATTTAAATTTTTATTTCGAGTAAGTTACAAGTTTCGTCCCTGTGGTTTGTCGATTTTCTGGATTTGCTCCCGGAAATTAATTATTAACCTTTTTTGTCCCAAAGTATTTTTCTCTCATTTTATTATTTTCCAAGGAGTAAAAACAGTTTAAGTGTCTTCACAAAAAGTACTTAAAACCAAAAACACATATTTTAAGTCTCTAAATAAGCTATTATTTATATTAGAAACCGGCCAGAATGATACCGCAGAAACTTTATTTAGGGAATCAAAATTTTTTTACATAACTCAAGGAGTTGAAAATATCTCAGTAGAGAATTAAGCAAGAAAACAGATAATATTAAAAAAAAAAAAAAAAAAAAAAAAAAAATTAATCAATAATGTGCGTAGTTATACCCTGTGTGCTGTCCCATGCCATTGAAAGCAGCAGCAACACCACCATTGATCTTGTCCATAGGCCCTTGTACTTGCCCTAGCATCGTATTGTTTCCATATGGTTGTTGCCACACCTGTTGTTCCTGCACAAGAAAACTCTGTTTCTTTTCCAAGTCAGCAAGTTGGACGTACGGCGGAGGTGGGACCATAAGAGATGCTGCAAAAGGATCTTGCGGGTCCACTTTCTGTGTGGATTCGCTGGGTGCAGGTAGTGCTAACACTGATGTTGTTATTGCAGGTGTTACAGTTCTCCCCAACCCAGATACAGATACAGAACTTCCATTATTATCATATATATCATTCAACATTACCGGATCAATAACACCCGTATCAACCTTGTGATTCGATAAACTACTAGCGGATTCCACCAATGCAAGCTCCCAATCAGATTTTCCATTTTCATTTATTTTTGAAGAACAAGGTTTACTTTCAGAAAACAAAGCAAGTGCTAATGTGTTTGTGTTTGTGTTTTCATGGTTGTCAACCGGAACAATTTCATCTTTCAGATCCAACAGGTCACCGGTGGTTTGTGGTGGTGTGGTGGTGGATGATGGTCCGTTTTCTATGGCTAATTTCTTAAGCCTTTTCTTTTTTTCTCTGATAAATCTCTCTAAGGTTACCAAAACTTTATCTGTGATCTTTAGAACTTCGGGAAACTCCGAAGCTCTAGCAACACCTAAATTTTTTGACCATTTGTAAAAGTCAAAAAGCTCGTCGATTGTTTTAGCTGCGCTTACGTATTGATCAAAAGTTTTGACACAATTCTCGTATTCCATTTCGGGTAATCGATCAAGTAAAACACCTAAAGCCTCCCATATATCCGCATAAATACGAAAACTTTCTCTCAAAACGAGGTGAAGTGCGACAAGAATCATTTTGTTGGTTTTCGCACTTCCAGCTGGCCTACACAATAATCCACGATCAATAAGTCGAAGAAGTTTATTCAATCGTTCCAAAACCCTATCGGGTTTCATCTCTTTAACGGGTGTAACTGCTTTTGATTCTTTTCGTGAAATCGATTCGTAGTATAAATCACCATAAGATTTGGATTTATGACTGATTCCATAACTATGATCATCTCTAAATCCACCATATCTTTCTTCAAAACGCCATTTATCGTTGAAACCGCTTAGTTTTCGTTCAAACGCGATGAACTCAAGCTTCTGATCGAGGTACAAAGCGTAATTTTTCACAAAAGCGGAATGATCCCAGTAATTAGAAAGAGCTTCAACGCGAAAATCCGACATGTTTAATACTCGTGTACCTTTTCGGCTTGCGAACATGATCTCTTGACCGAAAATTGGGGATCCGTCTACTAACAATCTGTGTACAAGCATTAATGCCTTCAATGCCACGACCCAATCGCTTGTTTTGTTCAATCGTTTTGAGATGTTGTAAACACACGCGCTTACGTATCCTCTTGATTGGGATATGAGGTGAAGGATTTCTCTTATGTATTTTTCTTCAGCTGGCTCAATGTCATGACCTGTTGCTTTCACTATCAGCACCTCGAGATCTGGTGCTACATTGCCTGCAACTTTGGCTAGGCTTATACTAGTTTGGTCTTTCACCACACCAATCGCCTTTCTGATTGTGCTTGAAGACATCGAAGCAATAATATCACCTCTTACCTTGGATTTATATCACTGATTGTTCTTCTGCTCTTAGTTAAACAGCAAGTCTGCAGAGAAATCGAATGAGATATAACATGTTTGCAAATCAAGACAACACTAATTAGGTAAATCGACGCGTTTTTTTGCAGTAAAACCTAATCGAACAATCTATGGAATTATCAGAAGTCATAACTACATTATTCAATTTGTAGCATCTGTAATCGAGTGAAATACAGTCATTAAAATTCGTCCAAATTAATCAAATTGAACGCGAAGTTATTTGCATCTCTTTGTTCGGGATGGAGAAATTGTGAATACGATCGATTAACATGATAAGTTACGTTAAAATTAACAAAATGTCAAAACACGAAGCAATTTCTCAAAATTATATACGGTTCTGCACGAAATCAACGTCAAAACTTGTATTTAGGTCTCAGATTACGATCATTCGTGTTAATTTGAGCTACAGGTGATGATCATGATCACTTCTACAACGATTCGCAAATTACGATCTAAAATGATCACATATATACAGATACGAACACTGCATCGTATATACAAAGTGAAAGAGAGAGATGGATGAGAAACTTACCGACAAATGTCAGAGAATTTGATGCTTGATTAAGAATGGTGGAAGAAGCTCCGATCTACGAGAAAAGTGAACGCTTTACAAAACCAAAAATGGCGAATGTATTGTATGGGCAACTTTATGTATGAGTGGTATGACGAGTGTTCCTTTTTTTAAACATCTTAAACTTTTTCAATTCGCCCCTTCAAGTATTCTTGAGTTTCTTAAAACCCCCCTGTGTATTTGACCTTTTCCACCAAAAAGGCAAAAACCGTTATTTCTCATTACTAAAATTTGTGTGGATTCTAATTTTCTTCTGTTTGACGACCAATTTATTTGTATCTCTTTTGAATAAAAGCGCGTGTTTTTTCGTTTCATTTGCTATTTAATAAAATAAAATTAAAAATAATTTTGAGTTTTGTAATTTTTATGTACGTGTTTAATATTTTTATGTCGAATTTAAATAGAAATATAGTTTTGAATCATTCGAGAGTCCAAGTTTGATTTTAGTCTTAACATCTGCGCATGACACTCAAGCTTGTAGCCTTACTTTTAGGGTCTGGTTTTTTTCGTTAATGTTAGAGTAAATTACAAATTTGGTCCCTCTGCTTTACAGTTTTTGAAGGTTTTTTCCAAGTGTATTTTTTGTTGCGAATTTGACATAGTGGTTTTATTTCCAAGTGTTATTTTGTTAATGGAGCAAACCAGGAAAAAGGTATACCAAAAGAACCAAATTTGTAATTTAGTCTTAGTATTGTAGTTATCTTTAAAAGTATAATTTTCAGATAATTTAACAATTAAGATAGAATATAACCATTTTCTCCTTGGCCTAACGATATTTTCTTGGTTAAGTTTGTATATAAGTAATGCTTTGAATATGAACATAAAACTATACTATGTTTAAATAAGATTCTACTTATAAAAATAAATTGTCTGGGGAGATTTAAGTCATTTTAATACAAAGTACAAACTATGCAGAATATCCACTACTCATGTAAAAATATAGTAATTATTTTTCACGTTTTTGTTATATGCTTGAAAACAAAAGTTCCAATTTCATTATCACAATAGTTATATAAATTCCTTCAAGTTTATTCCATAAACCATTATTGTTGTGATGTTTAAAACTTTACAATCCAATATGTAACATCTTGTATTTCCGTTTTGGATATACCCTAGGGGTAGCATTTTAAATAAATTTAGTTAATAAAAATTTTATTTTGGTGTTTAGATAATTAATTATATAAACTATTTAAAATAGGTAATTGATGAAATGCGTAATTTAGATGGAAAAATTTTAACAATTTTGTTGAATTTGTCTTTGAAAAGTCAAAGAGTTGTCCAAAAGGAAATTAGATAAGAAATATGTCCAATAGTTAAATTAATGAATACTAAATTTACTGATTTAACGGATATGTGTTTGTCTATTTGTTGGATTTAGTTAATAATCAATCAATTGAAAGGAGTTGGGAAGTTAAATCTTAAAAATTAAATGGGAACTAACGATATATAATTTATAAAAATATAAATTTTTTATCAAAAGGAATTTTTATGAATAAAGATTAAGACCTTTTAATATCCTAAGTTAAATGTTCAATTTTTTTTTTATAAAATAAATTTATAAATAATAAAGGTATGGAATTAATTAATAAAAAGGTCCTAAAGGGGTAAAAGATGAAAAAATAGGAATTTAAAAGCATTTATTAGCATGTGAGGCATCATAATATTAACCAACTTAAATTTAATTAAAAGATGATGTAATTCCATTTGATAAAAGATAATTTATTTAACAATTAAAAAATGGTTAATGGAAGATCAAGAAAAATAGAAAAAGAATAAAAAAATGTAAAAGTTGGTTGCTATCACGGGAAAGTGAACAAAGTTCCAAAAGAAGTGCTCATTGTCTTAGGAAATCGGTATAGAGGTTGGCATGTGCTCTCAAACTAGATGTTACATGAGTTAGTTATGGTATTTTGACTACTTAATTTTATTTTGACTAATTTAAATATATTTTTAAACTTTTAACAAGATTTAGAGTTTATTATTCTCCACCCAAACCACCAAATTCTCCACATGAGGATACATATGATTAAAAAACAAGTAATAAAAAGAGTTGATATCAACAAACACAATGTAAATGTCAATGTCACCACCAAAACCTTTGTATGTGCTAATAAACTTAAAACACAACCTTCTTGACAACATATCTTTAAAGATTTGCAGTTTCATCGAAAAACTTTACACCATAATTCATCAATCATCTTCATCTATAATACCCGATTCTAAATGTCACTACAGACCAGGTATCAATCACTGCCTCCTACAACTCCTTCCTGTACCTAAGTAACTCTTTTTTATCCTTTTCCTTTTTAATACTCCGAGGTTTTTGTTTTCACTTTTACCTCTGTGTTTGATCAGTTGTACTCGTTGCGCCAGGTGTCATGCTACTGGGCCCCGCCCCATTCTCAAGTGGAGGCGATGTCCCCCATTTCCCTTCCGATTCTTGCGGCTCCAGCACTATCACACCGCCATCTGTCAGTCCTAACGCAAATTGATTCGCTTCTGTCGGATGTGCAGCAATCACAAGTGGATACACCCGAGAACTGCAAAACAAAATCACATAATTACATTTTTCGTCCCTCGGTTTACATCATATCTTCATTTTTCATCCCTAAACCCAACCAACTTGCAATTTTGGTCCCTCGACTGTTAAGCGTAGCTACTAATCGGTTTTAAATTGATCATTTCTAAGTATATTGTTTTTTTTTTTTTTCTCCAGGGCAAAATGGTCATTTTACGTGTAATACTCACTTTGGATTTGACGGCAAGTAGGCGGTGGAACTGATACGACATCGCAATCTGAGAGTTGAGGCGGTTAGGATACAGACGCTTCCATCTTCAAAGCCCACGTAAATCGATTGGCTATCGCATGAATAAGTAGCATGTGTGATTAAACCACTTGTTTCTTGTGGGACCCACTGTAGTGTTTTATGTAAGTCAACAAGTCAAACCCACTAGCTTAAAAAATAAAATTTGAAAGAAAAAAAAAAAGTGAAAAGCAAACCTGTTTGAGTCGTTCAAGTTTAGGTGCTTCATAAATAGCTATTTGAGTTTCATGAACTGCTAGCAAATGTGTTTGATCATTATGGAATTGTACACGTGTGTCCACTATGGGAGCAGCAACACGTCCAGCTGGAATCTGTAAGTGTTTACTTGTTTGTTTCTCCCATCCTTCCGTGCTCCAAACACACAGCTTTATATTTTATAAAGAAAAATAAATCCATTAAAACAAATATCCAAATAGAATAAAAAGAATTTAAAAGTTGTTTTTTTTTGGTTACCTGAGAATCGGCTCCGGAAGATACTAGAACATTAAGAATGTTAGAAAAGGCCAAGCCTGTTATTCGTTTGTTATGCCCTTTAAGCTTTGTTTTAACCTGTTTAACAAACAATCATTAGTTTGTTTTTCGAAAGATTTAAGTAAATACAAATTTAGGTTTAAATATTTATTAACAAACTACCTCATCGATTCGGACATTGTATATCTGAATAGAAGAATCCTCCATGCCTATTGCTATAATGTTGTTATCTTGTGGATGGAATGCCAGAAATGTGGCGGCAGGTGGTGGTGGCATGAATGTAGTCATGGTCTGCATATACATGGAAGTGGTAAGTAATGCGGGAAATAGCAATGTACTTTCGTTGATTCATGAGAATAATAAAAAAAAGATGAAAGTAGGATGCTATTAAAAAAAACATGTGACCTTAAATGTCATCATATTGAACAAAGAAATCTTTCCACCAGATGCAGACATAACATAGGAGTCGTTTTTTGAGAGTGCAAAACATGGAACAGCTTCTTCAGGGTTTGTAGCATCACTAATAACATTAGTCATCAAAATACCACTTGTAGGTTGCCATAATTGAGGGACAACATTCGCAGTAGCCTAAAAAATATTTTTTTTTTAAAATTAGGTTGACGATTTATTTTATTGAAAAATAAATAAATAGTAGTAAATAAATAAATACCTTCCCAGATGAATTCCGGTCATTTCGTTGCCATTTCCATAGTTTATGAACTGCATTGGCTGCTAGAGCCAATATTGCAAGTCCTGAATTTGTATAAATCAATCTTGAAACCTGTAAAAATATGTATATGAAATAAGAATTTGTTGTGAAGGAAAGAAACAGTAGAAGAGGATGGAAATGACAAAAATACCCTCATTGCTGAAGATGTTGTATCGGGAAGGCGTAATGATCGACATTGTGCGGGTTCGGTGATTTCTGTTAGCTTCCATATCCGTGATTTATCCATTGATTCGTCTACAATTCTAGGCTTCACATCAACCAAGCTTCGATTGTCACCACCATTCTACAATTTTGACCAATTTTTAAAAAGTCAAGTCAACATCATCATTACAAATATTACATATATTAATATATTAATATATGAAAGTGAAAGTAGGTGGTTATTTAATATTTCTTACCATTGCAACCATTGATGGCATTGGTGGAACTCTATCCATGATGCTTGGTCCAGCAGACGGATTAGCAGCACCAAACGTACTCATCGGGGAAGTCTAACAATTCCACATTTCATTAGTCAGACAAAATGACCATTTTACCCTTTGAAATAAATTTTTCATTAACCAAAATCTTGATGCCATTTTACATACCTTCACAACAGATGCAGATGCAACTCTTGAGGGGTCAAAAGAACGACTCTCCATGGTTCTTAGCAGCCTAATCCCATCTGGATTTGCTAAAATTTTAATCCCGTTTTCGTTTGTTGAAACAGCTAATAAAATCCCTTCTTTGTTAAACCTTATGCAAGGAGAAGCCTGAAGAATTAAAAAATTAAGTTATGGACAGAATGTTATAAAATATTATATATAAAAAAAGAATAGGATAGGATAATTACAGGTAAACCACCCTCAGCATCAATAGTTGTTAATAAATTAACACTATCCATATCCCAAAATTTAATTAAAAATTCATCCCCAGCAGCAAGAAAACGGTTTTTTGTAGTATCAAACTGAACAACACCAACAGATCGTTTTCCAAGCCCATTATATGTACGTTTCACAGCTCCTTCACTTTCATTCCATTCCACTATGTATGATTCACCTTCTTTATTTGTCCCACATGAGAATAACCTATATTCCATGTTCTAATTTAGCATCGTAGACCAAAAGGGCAAAAACGGAATTTCAAAAGTTTTAAAAAGTTGAAACCTTGTTCCATCTGCATTGTATGCCATTGTTGTTGATGAATGACCTGGCGCATCATAGTCAACTCTTGAACCCATGTTGTCGTATAACCATGCTTTTATTTTTCCATCCGTTGCAGTTGAGAAAATAAACTGGTGTATAAAGAAATTAATTTATGTGTTTTAAAATTTGAGGAAAAGGAAAAAAGATTTTAAATTTATATATTTTGATACCTGAATGTTTTCTTTGAAATGTGGACATACGGAATATACAGGAGCTTCATGACCCTCGAATGTGTACTGTTTTGTCCCTGTTACTGCATCCCAGACCTATTATATATAAAGATTTTAAATTTATAAATTTTTCAGTTTGAAAAAATGTGAATTTAATTTTAAATAGAAAAAGGGTGTAACAAAGTTTGTACCTTTATTGACCTGTCTTCTCCACAAGTCACAATGCAAAGTTGTTTGTTTGGGTAAGAGAAAGCAAGATCATTGACACTCCCCACATGAGCTTCAATCTGTACAAAAAAAACAAGTCAAAAAGATATCTTTACATCATTTTATATGAATCTAATATAAAAAATATAGTCACCCTTTAAAAACAAAAAGAAAATGGGAAGTTATAAAATATAAACCTCCAAGTGGTTTCGAAGATCATCACCACCATGGTAAGAGTATATCTGCACCACATGCTTTGAGTATGCAACACCTGTATCAATTATCAAAGTTCATGATGATGATTAAATCTCTAACACTCAAGGGCAATTTGGTAATTTGGATATTTAAAAAAAATACCGAAAAGGGTTCCATCAGGGCTCCAAGTTACACGGTTGATTGATGCGGTATAGTCACTAGACAAAGCAGCCTAGCACAGACCAAAGTCAAACAGTCAAGATTTTTATTTTTATACAATGTGTGTTTATTTGTTTCTCGTTTTTTTATAAATTTTAATATGCAAACCTGCAAAGGCATTGAACAAGCACCAAGATCCCAAACCTTGAAATTTTTATGAGCAAGTTTCTCTCTACTACCTAATTCCCATATCATGACTTCTCCAGTGCTTGTTCCAACTGTAATTAGTTAAAAGAAATTGAGATAATAAATAAATGATTAACAGAGTTTTATAAAAAAAAAAAAAAAAGATATTGATTTAACTAACCAAGAAGCAAAATTTGCTGAACTGGATGAAAATCCATGCTCTTGACTACTGAACCCTGGTTAAGTGTCATCACTACAGCTTTAGGTAAATCATCAGAAGAGTATGAGCTTTGACCATGGCTTTGACCACTGTAGCCAACAGGTAAGATATTCACAGGCAGATGATTCACCTGCTAACAACACATAGATGAGTCAGATAACTCATATAAGGTAAAAACATAATCTTGAAAGAGGGAAAGAAGCTTACTTCCTCAGATATTCCAAATGTTCTTGTTCTTTTCAATACATGTTCAGAGTCGGCTGTTTGATAGTCAACAGCAGGATTATTGGTAGGAGGCGTTCTGGGGCGCTTTAATAAAGCTGAAAAAAGAGGCAACACTATCAGCAACTTGAAGGGCAATTTGGTAATTTGGATAACTGGAGAAAAAATATGTACCAGAGTTATTCGGTGGATTGAAACCAAGAGGACCTGCAGAAGCTGATGGATGAGGAACAGGTGAAGGATTTGCCATCCAACCAGCAAGTGATGTTGGTATGGTTGCTGGTGTAGGCTGAAAAGGCTTCATATACAAACACAAATATATTTAAAAAAATGAAAACTTTATATAAAAATAAAATAAATTAAAACTTGTTTTCACTTACACCATGAGCACCCAAAGGTGGAAAGCCTGCAGGCTTTGGTACAGAGCCCATTAATGGATTATTTACAGGAGATGGAGCTCTTGCACCATTTGGCTGTGATTGACCACAAGAATGGTCAACAAACAGAGTTTTAATATCTGGATTTGGCTTTGGGTTTTTGCATAGTTGATGTTGCCAATTCAGACTAGAAAACAAGAAAAAGAGATGTCAAAATGGTCAAGAAAAGTCAACCCCAGATACCGAGATATGAATATGAATATGAATATGATTATCTGAACCTTTGATTGATAAGTGTTCGCAATCTTGAGTTTTTTAAAGTTGGAAAGTTTAGCTTATCACGAAACAGAGGATTGGCTTCAATCAGCTTTTTAAGCTCACCCAACATTATACCTCTGGCTGACTTTGTGTCTCCATATTTTGATAATTGCTCATTGTCCCTGTACATAATGTATTTTTTTTTATTAGAAACCTACAAAGTTTTATAAAAGATATCGAAAGAGGAACTCTTCCATACCTAAAATTCTCAAGAGTCAAAAGCTGTGTGATTTCTTTAAAAAGATCTTCATTAAAAGCTGAAAACACCTTCAAGTCTTTCACTAGAATTTCAACGGCTTTAGCACGATCCTTCCTGCATATTGAATAAATGTTATGAATTTACACATCATTTCAAGAAACGAAAGTTTTTGGCCTTTTCTGCTATTAATTCTATTTCTGGTTTGTATTGCATAAAAACTAACCACTAGCCAAATAAATGCCAAAGTAATGAAAGAACTGAATTTCAATAAAAAAATTATACAGCAACATACTTATCTAGAGCTTCTAGGTACTTCTGCTTTCGTATCTCAAAGAAGATCTTCATTGAATATCTGTTATCATCCACTTTTGTGAATCCTGAAAGATACTTTTCCACCTCATCCCACTCGCCATTTGTCACCATTTCTTCAAAGTAACGAATGTTGAAGAAAAAGCCTGATTCTTGCTCTAACCTAAAGAATTAAACAAACAAAATAAGTTTTTCTTTAAATTGTATGCATGAATTTAGCAGCAGAGGTGTAAAAGAAAAAGGGGAAACAGAAACAAGCTAACAGATTCTTAAACCCTTACCTGTGAACAGTCTCCTTAAACTTCTCTTCATCTAAAAACTGAAGTATTAAAAACACAAGCTCTCTACTAAGGGACGACATAGCTTTTCGCTTTTCCCCAAAAGCTGCAGAAAAATAAAGATAAAATATGAAGTACATAATTAATATAAAACAACAACCACAAACCCCTCAAAATCGTCATGGATCGAACAACCACAGTTCACCCACTATTTCCGTGAAATTCAGCTAAATAACTCAACAAGCAAAACCCTAACGAACAGCTCCAATTCTTCGTTCAACAAAACCCGAAATTTCCGTAAACATACAGACTATATACGCATAAAAATTCATCTACATCCATGTATGTAAAATTAAACACATATAATTATGCATAGATACATAATAACCTACATGTATCATCACTAGGTTTGTGAAAATTATGCAAGATTAGAGGTTTCTTACCTTCGAATTGGAGGATGAAAGATTACAGAAACAGATCTGAGGGTTTGTAGAGAGAGAGAAACGAATTCCCTTTTACTGAAAATATTTCTTCTCCCTCTTCCTTTAGGGATTTCAAGAGAGAGAAAGCACAGAGAGAGATGTGAATCGGAAAACAAAGACACACGATATAAATAGTGGTGAAGAATACGAGTAGTACGAGATGATAGGGTAAGAGTTGATAAGCAGATTTGCTTATCATAAGAAGCACACCAGCTTATCAACTGAGAGGTTATACAAACCTCTATAATAATCATTTCCCTTCTTTATTTTTAATTATAAGTTAATATAATTGTAATGTGTCTAGTTTTTTTTTGTGTTTGAAAAGATGACCTTTTCCGGAAAGAAATTATTTAAGATATTTCAGATTAATTTTATAAAATTTTCTTTAGATTAAAAAGTAAGATCCAGGCAGAAAAAAATTATTATGAAATTTCAAAAACAATTCTTAAATCTGATAAAAAAAAAAGTTCTAAATTTTCAAGAAAAATCACTTATTTTTTACTAAAATATAACAAAAAGCTAACGAAACATACCAAATGAGAAATAGTACCATGCAAAAGCTTAAATTGTAACATTCAACCGGAAAATCAATTATATTTGTCCTTCAAAATGGATATATGGAACATGGGTAAAAGATAGTTTTCACAAACATTTTATGCACATAAAAAAAATTTATATATTACCATTGGGTTTGGAATGCTTTGTTCCCTACTCTGTTGTTTTTTTAATAAAGTGTAAAAAAAATTGATCTGATACATTAAGGATAATGTCAATGAAGTCCTACAATCTTTTGGGTATTCGTTTAATATGTCCCTAATATATTTTTTTTTTGGTAGTCTAGGTCACCAAACTTGTATGTTACCTATGTATTTTTTTATCCAAATTTACCGGACACTATATGATTGAATCAGCAAACATCTCTATATCAACATTGAGGTGGATTACATACTATATTAATGAATTGGCAAATGTCTCTATATCAACATTGAGGTGGATTACATTGTGGCAATCCAATTGGCATTTTGGTTCTCGTAACAAGTCCATGCGGATAATTCTATTATAAATCAAATTTCTACACGTTTAGACCCTAAATATGAACTCAACACCATCGTGCATTACCATGAACCAGCAGCACCATCCATCTCAGATCCACCCACAAACCATAAAATAGTAATTGACTACCATGAACCAGAAATCATTAAACAACTATCACTCTAACCATCTCAAACCTATGAACAAAACCAAACTAAAAAAGTACCAACAATAAATCTTCGGTTACCACCATCATAACAATTGATATCAAGAACAAAGTACAACACCAACCAATTTCAATAACTAAACATATTAGGAAAAACTATTTGGTTTTAGTTTCGGTTAATTCGAATGGATTCAAAGAACACCATCAGAGAACTCGGTCGTCAGAACTCGACGATTTCACCGTCGTTGCTTGTATGAGTTGTATCCAAACACAAAACTTGCTTTCTTTTTCTATAATGACAAATTCAAGTCAAATCTAAAGGATAAGAAGAGTTTGCTAACAACGATCGAGATGTATGCAAAGGTGAAGGTGAAAATTGAAAACCACACAACTAAAAGAGCACTTGTTGGGGTTGTTTGTGATGAAATTAAGGTGGTATTTTTTCCAATGTTTTTGCTCAAACAAATTGATAGCTTTATCGGAAAATAGAGAAATTAAGGAGGAAGAACAAGATTAAAGGAAGTGAATAGTTTGATTTGGCTAGTCTCAATGATTTGTAAGGAGAAGTCTAAGAGATTGGAGCATTATATTATATTCCAATAAGGTTGTTAATTTTTTTTTTTTCAAAAAAAGGTTGTCACTATTAAGAAACAACTTTGATAAAAACCCACTTTAATGTTGATATGAAATTTTTTGTCGACTTAATTATGGTGATCGGTAAAACCGGATAAAAAATACATTATTTGTTTAATTAACAGGTAAATTATAAGTTTGAGGACTTATCAAAAAAATATAAAAGGAACCTTTATACCAAAACCTAAAAATTTCATAGGCTTCAGTGATAATAACACATGCATTCATTCTATGAAAATATAAAAGTCACAACTTTTTATTTAAACTGTTACATATATTGTGTTTTAGGTGAGCTTTTGTGTGTGTGTGTGTGTATATATATATATATATATATATATGTGTGTGTGTGTGTGTGTAACGTCTGTAGATCGGAGCTAGTCAATTTAAAGATAATGAGCATCAAAAATTACTTTTTGATGCAAGATTATTTAGAAAGAGTAATCTTAACTAAGTTGTAGTATATGTCATGAGGTTTCCAAAATATATAAAGAACGCCGAAATCCGAGTTATAACGAAGAAGTTATGACCTGTCGAAGTTTCGCGACAGAACCGGCACGACGTTGAATGACGTAAAATATGAATTTAAGATAGAGTGGTATCTAGCCTTAGGGATATAAATGAAAGTCGTAGAATATGTTAAACCAAGAGCGTGCATAAAAAGAACGCTCAAATCTGACTTCGTATGAGGAAGTTATGATTTTCCGAAGTTTCGACTTAGCGGTATGCAGCTCAAATACTCGAATATGAGATCGAGTGATTTTTAGCCGAAACAATCTAAATGAGAATCGAAGAACTCGTCGATAGTAGTCCAACGGTAAAAAGACAGACAAAAACGGACGTCGGATGAAGAAGTTATGAATTTCTAATGGAGTTTTTCTGTCCCGACCTACTAAAAATAATATAAAAGTAATATGTTTATAATATATTAAAAATAAATTCAAAATTAGCCAACGGATTCTAAACGAGAGTTGTAGATCTTGTTTTTACCTACGCATCGATATAAATAACATCGAAAACAGAGTTTGTATGAGAAAGTTATGAATTTCTTAAGTTCTGGGCGCGAACCCCAAAGTTGTGTCAGTGGCCACGACGTGGCATGACTTCTGACGCCTTTTGGAGCCTGACAGAGAAAGTGGATGATGAGGCATGCAATGGCATTCAAGCCCACAACGTGGAAACAGTGCACACGACGTGGAAAATGAGAAATTTTCCCTATAAATAGATTTGAAGGGGCAGCCGGCCAAGGTTGCTAATTCACCAGTCTCTCACCCATAGTACCTCGATTTACGAGAAAAGAAGTACCCCCGAAGCCCCGGTATCATCCCGAGACCCGAAGCGAGTCCCGAATCCCCGAAGATCCCGGGAAGAAAATAGTTTCCGAGCCGAAGCTCTGTCCGCGAGAAGCTCGGTGTGTGAAGTAATTCTAGTTCCACCGAAGAATACTACTCTTAGAGCCATAGTGTTGTCCGATCATCTTCTGATCAAGTGAGTGTATGGTTACTTTCTTCTATCACATAAATATAAAGTATTGGCTATGAAATATGTGTTATGTGTTATATATTATTTTTCTATTTGAGATGGTCTTGGAATTGATGTTTTTATACGGGTGTTAAATGATTTAAATTGTGTTTGTATTTCTATCTACAAAAATGTTGGATAGAACATGGGTAGATGGAATAGTTGGTGACGATGCGACTTCATGCCTATTCGATAAACCTTGGTGACGATGTGACTTCGTGCCTATTGTATGAACCCTGGTGACTATGAGACGTAGTGTTAATTGTATGAACCTTGGTGACTATTTGACGTAGTGCCTGTTGTATAAACCTTGGTAGCAAATGGACTTTGTGCCAGTTCCTTAGGTAAATCCTTAGGAATGAATGAATGAAGGATAGTTGGTTCTTAGGGTAAACCCCTAAGAAATAAAGGAGTTATGGGGATGAGTATTTGGGTTGATTGTTTGATGATTGAATAATAAATGTATTATTATGGGTTGAAAACCGTATATGCCCACCAGGCTCCCAAGCCTGACCCACTAAGTTTTCTTTCTATCACAGGTATCAATACAAAGATATATTTCACTGAGGGGATTAAAGGAGATGTAAATCATTAGTGTAACTGAGTGTAGCTCAAATCCAACATAATTAAGAACTTCCCATCTTGATTTGAAGATAACTGAGTGTAGCTCAAATCCAACATAATTAAGCTCCCAAACTTCAACAAACCACCGGAAACTAAAGATCCGGTTAACCGATTCCAACTAAGATTCAAGTATTTCACAGTTTCAAAAATCCCAAGTAAGAACTTCCCATCTTGATGTGAAGAAGTTAATAGATACCCACTAATATCAACATGAATGGAAGTTGTAAAAATCAGGAATTCAAGAACAAAATCACCATCGAACATATTTCCATGGATATCAAGAACTTCAAATGCTATCATGTCCTGAGAAGTTGAGTTCCAACTTAAATCAAGAGATTTTAGGTTGCTTAATTCTAAAATCCAATCGAGAATGGACCCTAAGAAGTTGTTTCTGTAAAAATACAGATTCATTAAGCTGTTGACCTTTACCGATATCAGGTGGGAGAGACGAATTTAAGAGGTTATCGGAAATGTCGAGAAATGCAAGCATTCGCCTAATTTGTTTGGGAATTTTTCCAGTAATGGGTTTATTGGATATAAAGGGTTACCAGTTTTTGTGAGATTTGTGAATACATTCAAATTGATGTCAGTTTATAGAGATAATGATCGAGGACCACACCAAACACATTACTAGCATTGCATATGATTCCATTCCAGGAAGATGGGCATTCATTGAATTCGATTGACTCCTCATTCCAAGAATTAAGAACAAACCTAGTTGGATCATGCTTGATTCTTTTTTAAACTCGAATAATACTAAAATATCATGGGAAGAAAGCGTAATCATAGTAGGAACAATACACAAAACCAGTAATACAACCCTAACCCTAATTATCGTCTTCATAGAAAAAAACCCAATGTAACTTTGAACTTTTCTAAAAATTTAGATTAACAACATTTACAAGCACAACACACCTTGAAAGTAGGTTTTATTGCCTTTCCCAAATAGGTCGATCTGTAACCAAACATCCCATAATGTCATACAAGGGTAAAATCGGAAAAGAGGGCAATTATGACAATTTTTGCAAAAATGTGCGGTTTTTGTGGACATAAAAATGGAATTAGGATATAACTGAATATTTCTTGAAAATATCGGGGCTTTTTTGGCATTAGCCCTTACTAATTCCAATTGTGTCATGTTCATTTTTAAAGCAACTTGCTTTATCTTGTTTCAAATACCAGGCGAATACCCGCGCATTGCGCATAAACACATATATATTTGAAATCTTTACGAATATATGTTTCTTAAGTATAACAATAACGTTGTTGTTAAATTTGATA